CTCACCTTTCTTATAGCACCCTTGACCACCAGCCCAGTGAATGGTGGCACCATTCACAATGTTCTGTGCTCACTCACATCAATCACCAATCAAGAAAATACACCACAGGCTTCCATACAGCTCAATCTTACGCAGACTTCTATTTTCAAATAAGATTCCCTCTTCCCAGATGTATCTCTAGTTGTGTCACCTTGACATAAAACTAGCTAGCATACCTACTAAAGGCCATGTATGTGTCAACTCCACTCCCTTTCAGCCATGATAGGGCATCACTCCAGAAAATACCAACTGACTGTAGTCAAGTTCCTGCCGCCATGATCCCCTTACCATCCCAATGACGGTCCAAAAGGGTCACATAGGAAAGAAGACATGGCGGATAGCACAATCATTCCATTCTTCTTCCGTAGATAACAGCAATGAACTACCTGATGTTCTTATAACTGCATATTAAAACTTTGTGGGTTTCTATGATTTAGCTATGCCATCCACACTGCCCACAGATCATAACTTTACAATTTCTTTAAAAAAAAAATCAATCGTTTTTATTTTCACCTATGTCTAAGCCCCACGAAAGCAGAGTTTTATGGTCTTTTATGCATATTACGTCCCTAGTGCCAGCTGACCTGATGGGTGATAGACACTCGATATAAATTTGTCAATTAAATTAATATAGTGTGATAATTAAGAGTGATTGTCAGGGCTTGAGTGTTGACTCTGTTTACTTGTTAGATGTGTTGCCACAAGTCTGAATTAAATTTTCTTGGCTTCGCTTTTCCTTTTCATCAGTAAGCTGTGTAGATTAAATGAGATAAGCGGCTAAGAAGAATTTAATGGTGTACCTGCCACCTGGTTGGCTCTTCTGCTTTTCTATCAGACTACCACACAAGTTTATTTCAGGCACAACAACAGTATTAAAATCGGCAAGTTTAGTTCACCGAGTAAACCTCCATTTCTGCATTTTTAAATTGCACCAAGTAAACTTCCGTTTCTGCATTTTTAAATATCTGTCACTTCCACAGCTGAAAGAGTTTCGCCTTTGCACACTGCACGCACTGTTTCCCACAGTTCTCTCTGGAGAGGCCTTTCAGCTCACGAGTGAATGCCTTCGGTCCATCTCCCCCAATGGAACCTAATTCAGACAAAGCACGGACTGCACGGGTTTGTGGGCTAAATATGACAGGCAGCTTGTGCTCTCCCTCTTGCTAGGACTGTCTTTCCTCACAGGTTGCTTCTGCAAATGGTTCTAGATTTGCCTTTTTCTAGGTATTTTGCCGGCATGTTTGTACGTGCACCGAGCGTGTGCCTGATGCCCACAGAAGAACATATTTGGTCCTCTAGAACTGGAGCTACAGATGCTGCTGCTGGGAACCAGACCCAAGTTGTCTGCAAGGGCAGCAAGTGCACGTGGCCACTAGGCCGCCTCTCCAGCCTTGCTTCTACCACTTAGCACAGTAACAGGCCCAAACATGGAACATCAGCCTTTGCTGCGTCAGAGATGATGAACCCGTGTCCATTTTCTACCTCTTCCACTTTTTCCTCTTCTGTAAGTGGGTGGAATTCTTTAACTCAAGTTTGATATAGAACGCTTGACCCCTTACACTTACCGTTTATGTTGTCATTGACGAGTGTGGGCAAAGGAGCTCTGACCGGGAGCCCACACATATAATTTAAATGTCAACTTCCTTTTTCCTCTCTGCACATAACAAGAGCTTAATTATCATCAGGCAGCCATTTGGCGTCCGATGTCCAGATGTGGGGACACAGTCAGGAAGAGCTGCTTAGCTAGTCAGGTGAAATGGTTATAGAAATCATGTTATCTTAAAAAACGTGGTTGGTTCCTGATTTTTTTTTTATCTTTATAGCTAATTCTCGTGTCTGGTTGCTGTGAATGATGGTGCTGCCTGTCCGCCACCATAGAAATGCTGGTAGAAGTCACCCTGGAGTGCCGACGGGGAGGCTCAGAGGTAACACACACACTGTGCAAGGGCCTAAGGTCTGTCATGACTACAAAACCTTTTTTTTTTCCCCACTGATAATCATGATGCCTGCTGTTGGTTTCAGATACAGCTCTTTAAAGCAGGCTGAGAACATTTCATGTATACAATCATGTCAGGAAGGTCCTGAGTTAGAGCATGGATATGACTGGCTCAATCACAGTCCATTGAGGATTATAATAAATACATCCATATAGTTTTAATATTGAAAATCAGTTTACTTGGGCAGGAGGAGTAAGGAATTATATCTTGAAAAATAGTCTTGTCCCCAAACCGCACTTTCCATTCAATTCCTTTACTACAGTGCCCTGTCAGAACATGTCAGCTGCGCAGCTGAACGTGAGGGCTAGCTGAGCTCTCATGCTGCCGAACGTATGCACATGACCAACACGAACGTTTTCCAAGTTTGGTCTGTTGTATTCTCCGCCTCTCAACTAACTTAAAATTGGCTTGGAGTTCGTTCTTGGCTCACCCATGTCCTAGCTCCCGCTAAGGCAAGACCTTCCTCAGTCATTCTGTGTTTGAATTCCCCGTCCTCTCTCGGATGCAGGCTGCAGGGTCACCATGTGGCCTATGGAATCACGGGGTGGGGGTGCGGGTGCCGCTTGGCCTATGGGAGTGCTGGGGGTCGGGGCGGGGGGCTACTGGGGAATCACCGGGAGAGCGTGCAGCCCATGAGAGCACCGACACTCAAGGACAAACATTTGTTGTAAACAGAAGGACATTAAGATTTCTTCTTGTTTGTTTGGGTTTGGGCTGCTGTGGCCCCCTAAAGAAGTGATTAAGCGAATAATGTTTTCACTAATTCCCAGCCCTTAGTTTAATAAAGAGACCCCACGCCCCTCAAAAAATCTGGGAAATTTTTTATATGAAAATTCTCATAAGACTATAAAACCGAATCATGTTTTCGCTCCTCTACTGAATCATTTTTTTTTTTTTTTTGTAAAAAGGGAAAGTTATGTGAAATTGGGAGCATCTCAGAAAATTCCTAATCATCCTCGTGTTTGAAATGCACCCTTTCGATTCTTTTCTGGTTAAACTTCCTGTGTACATAAACTCTTTTTTTTATGCTTTGGGTTGCAATAAACTTTTACTTATGTTATGACAATTCCTATCCCTGTTGCCACTTATCTGCTATGCTAAGGGTCAGCCACATCCCTCAGGAAGAATTTTATAGATCACTTTCTTTTTTTTCCATATAGCTCTATTACATACATGAGTTTTCCTCACAGTTTTCAGTGGGTATGTGACTTCTCCTTTTGTAAACTTTCCTTTCTTCACATTTCAATTTCGGGACCTCAAGCCATAGTCCCAAATCTGTTCAGTGACAACTCTGAGGGCCGGCCCGTTATTTCACCAGAACCCACATCTTCCTACCTGTCAGGGCGACCGCCCAAAGCGGTGTCTGCTCCTCAGCGCATCCCCAGCCTGCCTAAAATACACGGCAGAAAGCAGCGATAAATGCTGCATGGTTTATTGATGGCTGCTTTGAGGGTGCTCTCCAGTGATGTGAGCTAGCTATTCTCAAGCATTTATCTGTTAAGGCAATTTAAGTCTATCGTCAAGTGTGGTCTTACATGGTTTCTTCAAAAAAGAAGCCAAATAAAGGCCATTGCTCTCGTTGATGCACGCATAAGAGCTGACTTGAGCGCTTGGCGTTCCTCATCTGTATCTTACCTGAACCCTCTCAAGGGTCCTGGTAGCAGCGGGAGCTTGTCATTTCCACCACCAGAGTGACAAAAGCTCAATCCCAAGGCCACCAGTTTTGTTTAACTTGCATAGTGCAGTCCTTCGTCGTGTTTCCCTCAACAGTTTTATTTCCTTTCTTTTTCTGAGAAAAAGAAAGCCCTGGCTGCCCTGGAACCTGTTCTGTAGGGCTGGCCTCAAACTCACAGAGATCTGCCTGCCTCTGCCTTCTGAGTGCTGGGATCAAAGGCAATTGTCACCAACACCAGGCTTAGGTGTTTTGGGCTTTTTTTTTTTTTTTTCAATTTATTACCAAACAAACACATTTACTTAGTATTTTGTACCTTGATTTTCATGCATATTCGAACATCTGTTACAAACTTAAATGTATAATTTTTCAAATTCCTAACCACGCAAGGAAACATCAATTCCCTTCAAGCTCTCCCTACATCAGCTCTCCCAGCCACTTGCTCTCCATGTCTGTGGCACAAATAATGTCACGGACCTATCCATGATTCAGCCATCTGGGCTATGACTGGAAGAAAGACACTAAATTACCAAATCTTTGCTAAACATGTCAGAGTGCACCCTCACACCAGCCAACACAAAGAGCCCTCCCTCCTTCCTGTCTCCCTCTCCCTCTTTCTATTCACCCCATCCTTACCTCCCTTTCTCGTTCTTTCTCATCGGGTCCCACTAGGTAGCGTAGTCTTCAGCGTAGCTTCAGACTTGAGGTCCCTGCACCTGAGTGCTGGGGTTACAATTGTACACTACCACATACAGCTGCTCTTTGAAAATAATTTTCTTTTCTTTCTTTTTTTTTTTTCTTTTTGAGAAAGTAACTTTCAGGGACAATCTTTAAGACATTGCGTACTAGAGGGACACTTGGTCCTTTCATTCTGGAATGTTATTTTTGTTCTGAATTCTCATAGTCTATATTTGAGTAAGTCATTTTTAAAGAATTCATTGAAAACCAAATGACAGAATTAGTTGGATGATATAAGGACAAGTTTGAGGGCTGACTAAATTGTCCGTAGCAACAATGACTAATTTAATCACTGTTGCTTCGGACAATTGAGTAACACTTCATTTAGCAACTCTCTAAGACTCAAGTCAGTGACTCAAATATTCTAACACAACCTAGTCTAAGACCCGCTAACTTGATCCTTACGTGCTAGGAGTGGTAGCAGAAAGAAGATCTTAAAAGTCTGCATTCTATCTGCTTAGGCCATTGTGTTTCTGCAAGAGCAGAAATGCTGCAAATCCAGGAAAACACTGCAGCCACAGCACGCGACCTTCCTGAAGCTGGGCTGAGGTGCGTCATGCTGCATTCAGCGGTGTGACGGTGTGCCCAGGGCAAGGTGCTGTGTGGTCCAGCGCAGTGACAGTGCGCAGTGAGAGGTGTGCTTGCTGAGGCATGGGCTGCCGTCGGTTCTCCGCAACCTGCTCAGGGACTTGTCCTGAGGGGAGGCGCCTCCTGCCTGCATGCATCCTGCTTGAGACCGTGTGTACATTGTCTGACGAAGGGGTCACTGTATCCACATATGCCTTCCAATATCTGTCCAACAGCATGGGTGATATTTGTGATTTAAAAGACATATGTCTCCTTCTCAATGACCATGAAATAAGGAAATAAAAGCAATTTCTGCTGCCCTCTAAAATCCCAGGATGTGTGTTATTGGTTATAGTGTGTGGACATGTGGACATGTGTGTTTAATATGATGCACATTTGTTTATACAAGACTATGAATGGTTTAAAGAACTTGTTTTTCAAGGTTTTCTCTGTGTAGCCCTGGATGTCCTAGAATGTGTGTTGTAGATCAGGCTAGCTAAGAACTCACAGAGATCACCTATCTCTGCCTCCCAAGTGTTAGGGTTAAAGAACAATTTTGGTATCCTTGTTTTCTCTTTTACTTATATGACTTTGAAACCCACATCAGTTATAAACTTACAGTATTCTGCTCCCAGCAAAAACTATCAGAGCAGATGTCATAGTTACCAGTGTGTTCTCACAGTCTTGTTGGGCGGGTCTGGTCATGAATGACACGGAACACATCTCACTGTGATGGATTGCCATCAGATTCAGCTGATTGAAGACAGCCCCTTGTTTCTAAAGTAATAGCTGTTCTCCAGCCATCAATCCAAGCAAGGCGGCAGTCCGCTCATCATTTAAGATCCCATGTTTGTTAGCAGGGCTCATGACCCCTTTGCTTTCTCCGTTTGACAAATTTGCTTTTATAAGAGACTGTCCTAGTCCATATATCAACTAAACATACCATAAGATAGGGGGAAAAAAACCTACTGTCACTTTTCACTTCTTCTTACTCATCTATTTAATAACTCTGCTGTGCTGAGATTTTATATTATGGAAACGAGAGAGTGAAAGACCAGTGCAACAAAAACACTTCGTTAGTTACACTAACAAAGAATTAGAAGATGACATTAGAAGATGGGGAGACCTCCCATGCTCATGGACAGGCAAAATTCATACTGTAAAAATGATCATCCAACCAAAAGCAACCTATGATTCAGTGAAATATCAGTGAAAGTTACTATTTTACAGACATAAGGGAAAAAAACCAATCCAAAATTATTCTGGAAACATAAAACACCACCACAGAGACAAAGTAATTCTGAGTGGTAAATAGCTGGAGGTATTACTTCACCTGATTTCGAGCTATCCTACAGGATTACAATAGTAAGAACAGCATGGTTCTGGCACAAAACCAGACACCATCACTCAATGGACTGGACTAGACTAGAGGACACAGATACAAACCCACACAACTACAGCCACCTGACTTTTGACAAAAAGGTTAAAAAATGGACACTGGAGGCAAAATATCTCTTCAACAAATCGTGTTGGGAAAAATTGGATACCCAAATGTGGAAAGATGAGACTAGATCCTCCTCTCTTACCATAAACAAAAATCATCTCCAAAGCGATCAAGGACTTCAACATAAACTAAAATTATGAAATAGCTACAAGAAAGATTGATGAATATTTTATAATGGTTAGGCATATGTAAGGAATTTCTAAACAAAATGCTAGAAGTTCACAAGGCAAACCCGACACTTGACAAGTGAGACTTTATGAAGTTAAAAAGTATCTGTAAAGCAAAAGAAGGTGTCAATCAAGGGAAGAGGTGGCCCTGTAGAATGAGAAAAAAATGTGTCACCCATACTTTGGACACAGGATTACTATCTAGAATATACAAAATGGAACTTTGTTCAGTTGTAAGAAACATGAACTTATACAATTTTCAGATAAATGGAGGGAATTGGAAAAATTACACTGAGTGAGGGGAGCCAGGCCCAGAGAGACAATCATTGCATCTTCTCTTTCATATCTGGTTCTTGCTCTGAATCTTCAGTTTTACACATTTAACTTGAAATACCTATGAGAAGCTAGAAAAGGGCCATGGAGGGGGGTGATGCTGTAAGAGTGGGGCAAGCAGAACATGTGACATAAAAGAGGAGACAGGGAATTCTTGGGGGCAGGAAGGTTAAAGTGGAACTGGGGTAGAGAACATAAGGAGGAGACAATAAGCTGGAGAAAGAGGATTAGCCAAAGGGAAGGATCTGTTTTTAAAATACCACATGGAAACCTGCTGGTTTGTTAGACAATTAAAACCACAAGTTAACAAAATAATCAGAAAAGACTGCTCACATATTCCCCGGATAATACCACTCCAAGAAGCCATTGTTTATCAAATAAAAATCCCAGTGCCTGCTGTGAGATACTCCCTTATGGGTCATTGGCCTTAGAGCCTGAGAGGCCCCCAAAACAATCCACACTCTTTCTATCCTCTTGATTTTCTACCAGAACTAAATGACGAGACTCTATTGTTGAAGACACAACATGGCTTCGTTGCAAGATACAGAGAAAGCAAGCTCGAGCCCAGCTTCCTTCCTGCTGGTTAGCTTTCACAGGCTCCTGGTAAAGCAGACATGGTAAATCCCAATTTTGAGCCCTATACACTAAAAGGCAACCTGACCTCCTAGATGTGCCCAGTGGTGCAGTAGTAGCACAACCATTAAGGGGGTAATCAACTACTCTATGAATCTGAGGCCCACTCCGTAAGAGGGAATGTATAACCCAATCAAAAACCCATAGCTCAGGTGGTCATAAGCTCTAGAAGAGCCACTCATGTGGCTTAGCTAATTCGACATAGCATTAAACTGCAGTCTAAATATTAACGCTTTATAATAACGGTATACAAACTCTTCTCTCACCCTCGATGGATGAAGCTTCCCCTTATGGTAAACAGTAGCGGATGCGGTATGACCACACTCAAGAGACTTTGAATAAACGGTGGTCCAATGCTCAGCACTAAACAGGACATTTCACCTGCTCTGAGGCTCAAGGAACATTGCTGAAGAGGGTGTGGAAAGAATGTAAGGGCCAAGAAACAGGGAGAAGGGCTGCAAAAATCCTATCTTCGTGTCACTACCCAGCCATTGCAAATACAATTGCGCAGCAGTTATAGTTGCTTGCACAAGATGGGGCCTGTCATGCAACTAATAATGAACATGGAGGGAATCACAAGACTTCACCCCTCCCTGTTGAACTATTGATGCCCAATAGATTCTAGGGGTGGGAAAGTCCTTGTCGTCAGTTACGTACCAAACATTGATCCCACCAAGCTCCATTGTCTGGTTCCAAACCTATGATCACATGGAGGGTCCTAGTTAAAATCAGTGGGTCAAAAAAAAAAAAAAGAAAGAAAGAAAGAAAGAAAGCAAAAAGACATGAATACAGAAAAGAGATGTGTAAGGAAGATAGGGATAATGGCAGGGAAGAGAGACTGGGAAGAGGGAGGGGGTGAGAGTAAACAGAACCCACTATGTACATGTATGAAAGTCAAATAAATTTCATCTGTCAAAAAGTTTGTTTTTCACAATTTCTCTACTCCCCTTTATAGAAAGACCGACTTTCACATTCTCATCGCTTATGTTAAGAGCCACACTAGATAACGTTGAAGCCGTTTAGTCAACCTTCTAACATAATTAGGAAAGCTCACGCGTTCGTCCCTTCATCTTCAGCCTGACCGAATGGGACAATGACAAAGACATGGAGCTCTTTCATCTGAGGTACACAGACCAGACAGATCTGTGATTTTATGCCTTTCTCCATTTGGGGGGGAGTTTCCGGCCGTTCTTTATTTGAATAACTTTTCTTCCCCACAGTCTTTCTCCTCTGCCTGTGGAAACCCGCTGTGTGAGAGTTAAACCGGTCACGATGTGTCCAGATTGCTGAGGCTCTCTCCAGTGCTCAAGTCAGGCAACTTCTCTTTTCCTAGTCTCAAGTTCTCGACTTTCTCCTGTGTTTTATTCATTCAGTTATTGATTACATCCAGGAAGGGTTTTAAACGGTTTCAAATTCTATCTTTATTGGCACACTGTAATTATAAGGATCGACGGGATGCAGTGTGGTATTTCAACATATTCGTACAATATATGATGATCAGGTGTGGATAACTGGCAGATTCGTTGCCTCAAATACTGATTTACTTCATGCTGGGAGTATGTTATTATTTTGAAATATTCAGTGAGTCATTGACTATTATCCTACTGTTATCCTCCAGAAGCTATCACGTGCTGTACAACGTTATATGCGACTTCTACTCAGGCTCACCCCGGTACCAGTTAATAATCCTCTCTGTCCTTTCCCGTCTCGCCCAGGCTTCTGTCGCCACTGTTCAAGTTTTTGCATCTTTGAGATCAGCTCCGTAGCATCCACGTTTAAGTGAGAACGAGTATGCAGTGTTTGTCTTTCTACCACTGGTTTAGTTGGCTCAATCACCCTCAGTTCCGTTTTGCTGCATACAACAGCATTTCACTCTTTCATGATTAAGTAGTATTCCATTGTGTGTATGCAATTTTTTTTCTTTGTCCATTTGTTGGTGGACCCTGAGATTGATTCCATGTGAATCATGCAGCAGTAAAAATATGGATGCCGATTTTTACTCATCTATTGCTCGCGGTTCCTTTAGATGCACACCGGGTAGTGGGACCTGCTTCGATATATTGTGTAATGGCTGCACTTGTTAATTTCCATTACCAGTGTGTGTTCTCCACCCACCAATGTGTGTTCTTTTTTGTTCCTTTGGGAGTAACCATTCCAGCTAGAGGAGTGTAACATTTATTGTGGTTTTGACTTGCATTCCCTCATAATTGGTGATGTTGAGTAGATTTTCATGTAAGTGGCCATTTGTGTTCTGTTCTTTCGAAAACTGCCTATTCATCTCATTTTCACATTAATAATTGAAGGGCTTTATTTCTTCCCACCTTTCAATTCTAAGTTTCCCCCCCTTTTTTTCTTCTTGATAGTTTCTGTTCCTTTCCTCAAACTTTCTATTTTGTAGTTGTTTTTTAGTGTATACATAATTGCTCGCTAAAGCATTTTCCTTTGTGGCCGATTTAAAATTCTATCAGCTAATTCCAGTCCATCTCATCTCTTGTTGACATTTGCTAACAGCCTTTTCTAACTCTGTTTCTATCTTTCTGGTTCTTGGTGTCAGTGGCGTGCAGGGTACCTGTTGTAAGCCTCGCTTCCTCCTGAATCCTCCACGCAGGCCATCATCAGGTTTAGTTTGCACTTCTTAAATGTGGACATACAGTACATCACACTTTTATAAGTTCTCTCCTAGCCCAATTTCATTTTCTACACGAAGTGCCCCTCCGAGAAGCCCCACATACCTTAGCCAATGCCCTTGTCCACTTCAAAATCAGGAAAGCTGGGAGAACTGGAGTTTGTTCATTTGCTGTCCTTGTTCGTTTGCTGTCCTCAACGTTTGCCTTGTCTTCTCTCAAGATCCATAGACATATACTCTTTTCCTTTTCTGCCCCTGAGGGCTTCCCTGACACAGTTTACCCTCCCCCCCCCAGCTAGATTTTTCAGCTGTCAGAATACAGACACCTAGCTGCTTTCTGAGGGATGAAGGGTGTGTGAAGGGAATGTGTGTGTGTGTGTGTGTGTGTGTGTGTGTGTGTGTGTGTGGCTTTGAGCAGCTTGGAATTGGGGGGCTGCAGTTCATTCTCTCTCACCTTTTCCATAGTCCTAGTTGCTTCCCTTTAGGGAGCACCTGGTTTTCAGGGAGGGAGGAGGGGAAGGGGGTTGGGGGAGGAGGCGCTCACCCTCATTTTAGCAAGAGCAGCTTTCAGGAATGACTTCTAAGCACTGAGCAGCCTCCTGCCCTGAGTGTTGTGAAATGAGTAACCGGCAACACAAGCAATAACATCAAAGCAGAGAAGAGCCAAGGGCTTCGGGGAAGAGGGAGAAGCAATCAGTGCTCCAGTGTGGGATGGGCTGAGGGTGAGCAAGCCCGAAGGCCCCTGAGAAACTCCACAGGCCCACCAAAATATCCGAGAGAATATTAAAAAGCTAAACGCATCCATTCTAACTAACAGGTGAGAACACAGCTGGACCAGGTGGGAGGTGAAAGCCACCTAGGAATGCCGGAGGTGGGGAGAGAAAAATCATGAGACAACTTACTCTGGAAAGAAGAGATGTTGAGCATGGTGTGGTGAGAAGAGCAAACATTCCAGGGCCCAATCTCACTGCTTCCTTCTCCCCTTTAGAGGTGGAAACAAAGTTACCCAGAGATGCTGTTTGTATGAAACATAAAAATGGGACCGAACAAGAATTATAACTATTTTAATTCTTTTCAAATTGAGATAAAAAATAATATGTTCATCATCAGAAAAGAAATAACATAATTGTGTTCTCGGTTTTCCTTTTTTTTTTTTAAACGTAAGGCCCCATGATGCAGTTTTCTTTTTGTATCTCCGTGATGCTCCTTCCTGTCTTTCAGACTGACCAGTGTAGGCCTCAGACTGAACATATGCCCTCCACGAGGAAGGGAGGCTTTTTCTGTGGGAAGATGGGGCCACAGAGGACCTCCTCCCATCTAATTGGCCTTGAAGGTTGTGTGTTGCTCAAGGTGAGCCTGTTCCTGTTACTCATGTGGGAACCTGCTTTAACTGTACTTCCATCTTGAGGCAGATGAGTTGCCTGCGGGTGGCCTAGCTCATGAGTTAATACAACTCCTTCATGGAACCTGGCCCACCACCTCAAACCTGTTTTCAGGCTGGCTCTGTGACAGAAACTGGAGAGGTAGGAGGAACAGAAAGGAATTGCCAGGAAATGAGCAGCTAGATGCCCACCAAGCCAAGGGAGATGACCTTGGCTTTATGCACCTGCGCTGTAGAGATGGATGTCCCGGGACACAGGATGCCTGCAACCTGGTCCAGCGGCTGCATGTGTCTCTGACCCAGTGGTGCCTTCTGTTTTTTGTTTTACTTTCTCTTTGCTTGTGGACTCTTCTCCCACAGGTTGTCTCAAAAGCTGGCCTCTCTGCCTGGCCCAGGCCACCTCCTGACGGCCCTGTGTGTTCTCCCGTCTTGTTTCTGCTAGTGAGTTTATTTGACCAAGAATCTCTGAGAAGAGTCCATTTGTATATCCACCAAACCCTAAATTTCCTTGATGGCACTCTCCCTTCTGCACCTCGAAGGACTCTTTAGACCAGGCTGTCTTTGTCTTTCAGCTCAGCAACTCCAGCTTCCAGAAGGTGTGATGAACCTGTTTGCTCCTAGGAGCCATAACTATGCTGTTCCTCTCCCAATATTTGCATCTTAACAAGCCTTACAAGTTTTTGTCAGGTGAAATAATCTCTAGGTACATGATTCCATGTATCCTTAGAAAGACACACACACACACACACACACACACACACACGCCAGGTCTGATTGCATAGATTTGTAATCTTAGCTACTTTGAAGGCTAGGCAGTATTGAAAAGTGTCAGGCCTGCCTGTGTTACAGAGTGAGTTTCCAGTCAGCCTTGGAGACTTAGCAACAACACTGCTTCAAAGTACATACAGATAAAATTCAGATTAAATGGATAAAATTCAGATAAAATGGAGAAAAAAACTGGGAATATTGATCACTGGTAGAGAGCTTGCCTAACACACATGAGCCCCCTGGATTCCATTTCCAGAGGGAGAGGAAGAGAAAGAGAGAAACACAAAGAGAGGGAGAAGGAGAGAGAGAGGGAGAGAGTTAGAATTAGAATTTGATTAAACGGGTCACTTTCTGAATCTATGAAATACAGAGATTACAAAAGGCTTTGCGGGTTTGAAGTTCAAGAGTGCACATGACTGGCCCAGGGCTATAGAGAAATAGGCACATATAGTGCCACTTGTCTAGTGGGAAGACCACCAAAAACTACTGTAGCAGACCCCCATGAGCCAAACAAATCCATTCCCTTAGTGCACTCTCTCCAAAAACTGCCCTCCATGTAATAGCTGACTCAGGTCTCCGGTCCCTGGGCCCTTCCCCCACCCAGTCTTCTCACACCGTCTTTGTCTCCAAGCAATTGGGAGATGCCAAATGTTTGCGAAAGATCCACACCCAGGCTGGAACAGATGCTTTCTTAAGTGAGTCTGACTCAAAGGTGTGCATAGTGCAGAGAAATAAACTAAGGACAAATGTTCACCTCTGCCCAGTGACTGAGCTCAAGACCAGTGAAACCAGGAAAAATCTTCCCGATGTCCTACTGAAGGTGTGCCTTTGAGTTTGGATTCAGAAAAGCCTCATCGTTGCAAATACATGACAGTAGGAAGTCATCAAAATACTGCAAAAAAAACTGAGCTTTTATTCCTATTGTCACATCAGAAAAGTCATATGCCAAAATATCTGAATATGTGTGTGTATGTATGTGTGGTGTGGTGTGGTGTGGGAGTGGGGTGTGTGTGTGTGTGTGTGTGTGTGTGTGTGTGTGTACAGGGGTGGGGTTTATCAGAGGGACACTCAGCATTCGTATCTGCACTGCAGAGTTCTTTATTGTAAGATAACTCCATAAAATTGAGGTCTCAGTTCAGGAGCACCCCTGCCATTTTATTAAGTTTCTGTCAATAAACTTTGGTGCCTGTAAGAGGTCCTGAGGTGCTGTTGAAGTCACTGTCCCTAAAACAGCAGCAAAAGAGAACAGACGCTACTGTCACCTCTCACTGCCACCCGGAGCCTATTTAAAGAAGCTGATTTCTGAGAGCTTAGTTCACAGTCACCATTGGCTCGAGACACATTTCTCTACAGAGTGGTTGGCTGGTTATGGATATAACGCCACCAGATTAGCAAGATTTGAGCCTTCAGGGTGGAACAGTGACTGAGGCCGTGACAATAAAGCCACAGGAGCAGGCTGCTAGAGGGAAAAGGTGTTTGCTCTAAGTGTGGGCAGAAGCATCTGCCTCCTTTGATGCAGCCTGTGAGGCGTTCTGGAGGTTCAGTCCCATTGAGATAGGGAAAGGAGCCACAGCGTCTTCTCTAACGATGCTCCGCCCACCGCAGGTGCACCGCCCTCTACAGATACACTTGAGTAAGGCTCCGGGCTACACGGGTTGGGCTCTTCCATTCTCCTACGAGTTCTGAGTTAAGTAATACCTCTAAGATCATTTTTTTTTTTTTTCATTTAAAGCAATTGCGGTCCTTTCCCTAGTCTCTCTGCAAAGCCAAGCCATCATTAAAAAATAACTCAGTAGGTTATATGGTCAGGCATTGACTTCGGTAGGAGACAAAAGGAAATGTGGAATCACGGGCATGTATCTGTAAATGCAGGGGATACCGCCCAATTCATGACATCAGCTGCCTCTGTGGGAGCCTGGGCGGGGAAGGAGGTGCATGTGGGCTCTTGTCATTTACCCCATATTTTTACTTGAATTTTTTTTTTTTTATAAGGAAGATGGTTTCTGGTGCTGCTTATGCTCAAAATAACAAAATAAAACACAGGAAGAGAAAAATGGCCCTAAGTGTAATACGTAGAGAATGTGCAGCGCTTATTGTTGGCTCGAGTACATTCGGCCATGTTGTGAACACCACCTTCGGACCTAGCACAGCGGTTCTCCACCCTCCTGGTGCTGAGACTCTTTAACACAGTTCCTCACACTGTGGTGACCCCAACCATAAAATTATTTTTGTTGCTACTTCATAACAGTAATGTTGCTGCTATTGTGTATTGTCATGTATGTCTGTGGGTTGTTTTTTTTTTTTGTTTGTTTGTTTGTTTGTTTTGATGGTTTTTAGGCAACCTTATGAAGAATCCTTTAGAATCCCAAGGGTCGTGACCCACAGGTTGAGAAACATTTGTTTTAGGTCAGGTAAATGGGAAGGACCTCCATGTTCTCAGTGACCAGAGAAACAGACACACAAACAGATGAGTGACACATAGGGCTGTAAGTGGAAAGACATTTTATGGAGAGCCCTAGAAGGGTCCTCTCAACACACCCTGGGAAGAAAAGGACACAGCCATGTTTTCTCTGAGGAAAAGTTCACATACGGGTAACTCTGAGTCTGGAAGAATAGTTAGGAGAAGGCAAAAAGAAATCGGGTATGTGTGTACTTCCTGAGCTATCATTTCCTTCTAGCTCATCCCCACCAAAGCTGCTTTCACCCAGCCTATGAGCAAGACAATCTTTTACAGACCATAGAAGAGGGAACTATGAAAATCTGAAAGCACAATGAGAACAGCTAGTCCAAGCCTAAACAACCCCAGGGAGGCAAAGCAGGGCCTACAACTCTGCAGCTGTTCTCATAGGGAGGCATGCG